TGGAGGGAAGATAACTATTCAACAATTGCTGTTGGAAAAACTGGTTACTTGTTTGTAAAAGAATGAAACTGGACCTTTATCTTTCACCATATATACTAAATTAAAATCAAAATGGATCAAAGCTCTAAACATTAAAACAGAAACATTGAACATTTTATCTGGAAGATAAAAATAGATAAAACACTCAAAGATATAGGTGTAGGAAAGGATTTTCTAAACAAAAAGTCAATTGCACAAGAAATAGCAAGAATGAACACATGGGATTATATCAGACTAAAAAACAAAGAATCAATCATTTGTGTGAAGAAATAACCCACAGAATGGCGAAAAAATTAGGCAGAGGACTAATAGCTAAAATATAAAAAGAACTTCCAGGAAGAGAAAAGCCAGTGCCTCCTGAGAATCAACCATGCTGGGACTGGGAGGCTCCCACAAGAAGCCAAATAGCCAGCCTTTCTGGTAAGCTGTGTAATTCACATGCTTCTAGGAAGAGGAAAGTCAGCACCTTCCATGAGCCTACTGGTGCATGGGCTGAGAATCAACCCCCTCCCCCTGGCAAGCAACCTGCTGGTTGGAGGACAGGATGAATTGATAGCAACTAAGGTACATAAAGCAACTAAATGTTTGTATTGTTTGGTCGATTTTGCAGGCCTGGGGCCAGTGGTCTGAGCATCTCTTGGGAGGATGACAGTATGCAATATGGCAAATATGAGGGATTTTCTTTATCTTGTCTTTGAAATCCAATATTGTTCTCACTGTTTTGCTTTGTTCTGATTGTTTTGATTTATTCAATATTCTGTTTTGATTGGTTTTATTCTGTTTTGCTTTTGGTTTGATTTTGCTATACCTGATGGAATGAACAATTATTGTGAAGATAACAAGATATACTATGGTAGCTGTTGTTGTTTTCCCAGTGTCCTGCTTTGAAGTTCTATACTAATTTTGATACCTTGCTTTGATTGGCTTTGTTCTGTTGGATTTTACTATCTAAAATTTTTAAAACTTCAAAAAAGGAAATTAAACCAACTAAAATTAAAGAGCCAATCAAGAAATGGGCAAGGGAAATGAACAGACACTTCAAAGAGGAAGAAATGCAAATGGTTAACTAATTTATGAAAAAATGTTCAACATCTTTGATCATAAGAGAAATGCAAATTAAAATAACATCAAGATTCCATCTTATTCCAGAAAGAATGGCTATGATTAGGAAATCAAACAATGACAATCCTAGAAAATCCTCTGGCATTGTTGGTGGTAAAGCAAACTAGTAAAACTATTATGGAAACCAGTGTGGACATCTCTCAAAGAATTGAAATTAGAAATTCCATACAATCCAGCTAATCATCTGTTACGTATCTTCCCCAAAGGGATTAAGTCATTACACCATAGTAATACATGTTGCAAATGTGTACTAATACAATAAAATAAAAAAATTTTTAACTTATCCTATGGAAATAATAGAGCAATCTAGGAATACATATACTTCCATACAAAAATACGTAGAATACTATTGTTGATAATAAAGAAAATTTGAAAACTATATAAGTGCTTTATAAAAAAGGAATAATGAAAAACTGTTGAGCAGATTCATAAAAAACTGAATGCCCACCATATGATCCAGCAGCAATGATCTTGGGCTTTTGCCCCTTATTTAGCTGAGCATGGTGGTGCATGCCTCTAATCCCAGTATTTGGGAGGCTGAGGCAGGAGAATCTCTGTGAGTTCAAGGCCTGCCTAGCCTACAAAATGAGTTCAAAGTCAACTTGAACTACATAGTGAAATCTTGTCTCAAAAAAAAAAAAACCCTCAAGTTCACACAAAAACTTGTATGGACATTCCAGGCAGCTCTATTCATAATGGCCACAAGTTGCAAATAAACTCTATGCTCCTTCAAAAGATGAATAGTTAAACAAATTGTGGCACATCCATACCATGGCACAAAACTTAACAATTAAAAAAAACTTCTGATACATACAAGTTGGATGACTCAAGAGAATTAGAATTATCCTGAGCAAAACAAAAAAGCCAACTCAAGATGTTGCATATTATATGATGTGATTTGTATCACATGCTTGAAATGAAAATTATAGAACAGGGACAGATTCGCGGTTGGCAAGCCTTGGGGAGGGCGTGTGTCTAGCAAGGCAGCTGCAGGATCCTTGTGGTGACAGAATAGTTTCGTGTCTTGATTGTGGCGACTGTTACAGGAATTTACATGTGTGATAAAATTGAATGGCGTTAAATACACACCCATACTATGCACATAAATAAATGAGTGCAAAAAAACTTGATGAAGTCTGAATAAGCTCTTTGAATTGTACTAAGTCAATCCTGGTTTTAATATTATACTACAGGAGCACAAGATGTTACTATTGGAAGAAATTGGGTGAAGGATACATAGGATTTATCTGTACTATTTTTTTGCAAGGACCACTGAATTTATAGTTTTTCCTAAATTAAAAATTTACAAAGACAGTAAATGGATTAGAATTTTTCTATAAAAAAATTATGTGTATATATAGCCATGTTACTGAGAATGGCATATCCCTGCATAGAAAGAGCAGGTAGAAAATAATTCACAGGATATAATCACATTTATTATTATTTGTAGAAAAGTATGTTAACACACATGTTCAAACATATTGAGATATCTAGAGGAGTAATTAACCCAAATGTTAAGTTAATAATGTTATATTGAGGGAGGCTTTTACTTCATTTTAATTTTTTCTTGCTTTGCTTCAATTTTACACAACTAGCATGTATTACCTTCACAACAGAAAGAAGAAAATTTTAATGCTTAGAATTTTTAAATGCTCCAGATGACTATTTATCAATATGGAAATAATATTTCTTGTAAAAACTAAAAGGCATGCTGCAAAACAACACCATCCCATCCTTGCAAAAAAAAATTATATTTCTTATATATGCAAAAGCAAGAAGATATACATCCAAATATAAATGGTGGTCACTTCTCGGTGATGAGATTATGGGCCTACCTGTATGTATTTTCTGATGTTTCCTCATATGGCACAGTTATAATTTTCTCAATTTCTATTTACTCTTCAAAATTTGGAATCTTTCAAATGTAAACAATAAATAACAGGAAAGGGCATAAACTAGTCCTCCGATCTGCAAATCTGACCATTTAGCTCTGTCAGTTGCCCCCAGGACACAAGATGTTAGAGTTTTGTGTATTTTCCAGATCTCCTCATACAAACATAGGCTAAGAGGATTTCCTCTGTTTTATACAAAAAGTAGCAGACTCTACATATTGCTCTGCACTTTGCTTGTTTCTCTTGAAAATACATCACAGAGAGCTTTCCATGACAATATTTACAGAGATTCCACTTCTTAACTGCATATTCTAACTTTGCAGAGATAAGCCAGAGTTTCACAACCCGCAGTTGAAAGCCGTTTGTAGCAGTTCTAGTCTTCTGCTCTTATAAACAGTGCAGCTGACTTACATCATTTCCCACTCCTGCCAGTTCACCATGCGTCCATTTGTATATCTGGTTCGACTTTTCCCTAGCAGATCCTACAAACTCTTTACATAACAAGGAAGACAGCTGTTTGTTACATGAATTGCAAATATTTTTCCTAGTTTTTCATTTGTCTTTCACCATTATATATGTTTTGTTTGGGGTTTGTTTTTATTTTGTTTGGATTTCTTTTTGCTACATAGAGGCTTTTTTTGTTTTGCTTGTTTTTGTTTTTTGAGACAGGGTCTCACTATGTAGCTAAGACTGGCCTTGAATGCTGGCTTACATGCATGTGCCACCACTCCTGGCTTGAGGTATTATTTTAATTTTGTTTTTTTCCTGTACCAGGAATCAAACTCAGGGCCTCATGCTTGCCAAGCAGGTGCTGTGCTGCAGTGTTACATCCCTGGCCTAAATTATTTTTACGTAATAAAATTTATCAGTATTTTCTCTTTAGGTATCTGGATTTTAAGTCACAGCTAGAAAACTCTTTCTCATTTTCAGCGTTTAAAAAGAATTCTCGGGCAACTTACTCGGGACCCCTTCTGTCTCTCTGTCTCAGATAAAAGCTTTCTTTCTCTCAATAAATATTTCTGCTCTTAAAAAAAAAATGGAATTCTCCTGCATCTCTTCTGGTGCTTTTTTTTTTTTTTAAGACAGGGTCTCGCTATGTAGTTTAGGCTTGCCTTCAGCTCACTAGTAGCCCAGGCTGGCCTCAGTTCACTCTCAGCCATCCCAGCCTCCCAAGTACTGGGATTATAGCTATGCACCATCACATCGGGCTTCTTCTAGTACTTCTATGCCTTCATTTTCACATTGGAATCTCCAGTCCATTACATTGGTCCTAGAACATAGTGTGAGATAAAGACACAATTTCATCTTTCCCCAACAGTCACCCATTTTTTTTTAATGTTTATTCTAAAACAAATGGAGATGTTGGAGTCAGAGGCTAGATTTTTGTTTATTTGGCTATTGCTCATGTACGTGGCTATGTTAGCTTCTATGCAGTCACTTACACTCTCAGACCTCAGAGAACAGAGGAAAGGCAAGGTTTAGGGAGATCAAGAAAGCTGCTAAATAAACAATGTAAAGGATTTCAGATGAGGAAGCCAAGGCTGCAGTAGTAGAGGACCTGAGAGTGTGAAGGGGACCTCTGCCCAACCTGTCTACTCCTTCACAGTACTAATGGGGAAACTGAGGCCTAGCAGGCAGGTAGACTTGACCTGGGTCCCCAGGCCCTTAGCCACACTGCTCCCAAGAAGGCACCAATGGACAAGGACCCTGACCCCATCTTACAAATGGAGAAATCAAGGCCAAAGCAGAAGTGACCCCTACTCCAGTACCCCAGATAGAAACTGTGGTTTCTACCACCTTTCTCAGGGGCAAGCCACCACCCTTACTTCTGCTGGCAGCTTCCAGGTGCCCTTCCCATCCTGCGCACCACCCCCATGCTCCTGACCATCAGGCTCCCCTCCTGGTCAGTCATTAATAGCGGCCCTCTGGGAATCGATCACACCTTACCTGACTTCCAAGTTGGATCCCAGGGAAACCAAATACCGCACAAGAGAAGTTCACTTGTGGCTCCACAGCAGACTGGTCAAACTGGACTGAAACCCAGGACTCCAGACTCCAAGTCCTGTGCTCTACTCAGTGATGGCCAGGTAGCTGAACCTCCGATGAAGACCCTAGTTAGGCCAACAGAGCAATGAGGAGACATGTGAAGCATGGGACAGAGTCTTTGGGAGATGCGAATTAGTATTCAGGGCCCAAGCTGTGTAACAGGCTGTGTGACACTGCAAGGAACTTGGGTTCTCTGAGCCTCAGGTTTTCTCATCTGCAAAATGAGGGTACCTGGATCCCAGTACCAGGGAGCCAGACTCAGACAACCACTGAACTCATCCACACTTCTGGGAGTCAGGCTCTGACCCAGATCCAAGGCTCTGAGCAAAATCGTTGGCCAGGAATTCACCTGCGTTACTCCCTATGGCCATTCATGGGCTTTCAGGTTCACACACTCATGAAAGCCCACCCTGTTCCTGCGCGTGGTTCCACTGCCTCCACTAAGATGCTGTTCCTGTCCACCCAGCCCCGAGCCACCGCCTCAGGCTTCCTCTTGGCCTGGGAAGAGAGTGAACTTGTAGTCTCTTCCAAACAGCACTGAGAGTTTCTATTGCCAGAGGGGTTACTTCACAGAGGAACAAAGGGAGGATGCAGCAAAGCCAACTGGTAACTGTCAGTTCTGTTGCTCGGAGAGGAAGGTCACCTGGTCCAGTTTGTTGAGCACAAACTGTGTCTTGTACTAAGCACCTGACAGGCCCTCACCCCTGCCACTCAAGGTGCAGCTTACAGGACCAGCCCCATTTTACAGAGGAGAAAACTTAGGTCCAGATAGCTCCAATAATTTCTCCCAGGCTACATGAGGAAGCTAAAACTTGAACCTAACACCTAATCACACCTCAGTATTTTTTTTCCTTTTTTAAAATTTCTTTTTGTCAGTCTATGGATCAAACCCAGGACCTTGTGCATGTGCTGTCCCCAGCCCTTTCACTCCCAAGCCTCTTCTGATAATACAGCTCTCTACATCCCTGGAATCTAGAGTTGCCACCCAGAGTGGAAAGGAGGTTGGATCCTCAGCTTGCTGCTCTGGGGGCATCACACAGCCAGTGACCACCTGGGCAGGGGTATATCCAGAGCACATGAGGTGCAGGGGTGCTGGGGATAAGGACAGAAAGCGGGGGGGGGGGGGAGACCTGGGGAACTAACCTGTGATGCTGCCACCTCTGTTACCGTCTTGACTCAATGCTGTCTTGCTGCTTCTGCAGCAAGAAGAGGAAGTCGGAGGCGCCAGCTGCAGCACCCACTCTGTTCACCCCTCCCCACACTCCCACTTCAATCCTATCGCCTTTTTCACCCGCTGCACACTGCACCCTCGCTTCACTTCTTCTTTTGCTGCAGCAGCTCCTGTTTCCCCTGAGCCGATCCCCAGGCCAAACTCCCCATGGTCTCCTCCCCAAGGCCCCGCACCTCCAGGGGACCGCTACATCTCCCTGGAGGGGTGCAAGCACTGGACAGCACGGTGCTGCGCAGGACCTAGCACCAGCTCAGCCCTGCACACTGGGAAAAGGGATAGCACTGCCCAGTACCTCAGTTTCCACATCTGTAGAGAGGAGAATAAACTGCTTAATGTGACAGTTCACAGGATTAGTGATGACGGAGACCTGGAGCAACGGCTGGGCCTGGCTGCTTGAGTTTCAGCATCAAGCCACCATGCATCGGCTGGGTGACTGGGGTAAGAGACTTAAACTCTCAAAGTTCAGCTTCCCTGTTGATGGCAATGCCACCTGGTGGGATGGGTGATGGCTGCAAAGTGATCAGAAGTGCTTTGTAAAGTTGTCACATTTCATATAGGAGGAACCTGAAGTCCAGAGAAGACAAGGACCTGGTCCCAAGTTGCCCAGTGGTAGGGACCACAGGGAGAGAGAACTCCTGGCAGCAGAGCAAAGAGAATATGGCTACAGAGCTAGGCAGTAAAACTGTCTGCTTTTCCTTAAACCAGGAGTCCCCACAAGTGTGGCTGTGCTCCACCAGCCACACTGCAAAACTCTTAAAGAAATGAGGGAGTGACTCGGGTATATGCACGGGTATGGGTCCATGTGCATGTGCATGCGTGCGTGCGTGTATGCGTGCATGTGTGTGTGCAGGGAGGAAATAAGAGTGCTCTGCTACCTAGGCCCCAACCAGATTCCCTGGAAAAATCATGACTCAGGAATGTGTGCTCTTCCATCCCTGCGGGGTGGGGAGTAGGAAGGGAGATGCAGTAATGGGCAGAAAGCCGACAGGTCCCAGCACTGTCTCCTGCCTCTGTGCCTGACACATTCACCTTGCTGCTTTAGCCCAGGCACAGCCCACAGGAAGCACAGGTGTTTCTACAGAACAGGGCAGGAGAGCTGCATCTTGGGTAGCCAGATCCCCACCCCAGGGGGAGCACAAAGTCTCTGCAGGGAGACTGGCCACACCCCTGCCTGGTGACTTGGGTAAGCCCTTGCCTCCTCTGTAGTCTTCTGGGGTTCTGTGATCTGGGATGGAGCCCAGGACTTTGTGCATGCTAGCCAAGTGCTATATCTACATCCATATACTTTGGTTTTCTATGCCAGTCACCCAGATCTTCATCTCCAGTCCTTCCTGTCTGAGGCCTCCTAGCCATCTCTAGATTTGAACCATCAGCCACCTCCTTCCTCAAATCAAGTGTAAGCCCCACCAGCTATTCTCAGGGCCCAGAAGACCTTCCTCCCTAGCCCACCATCCATGGCTCCTCTGTTTCCCAACTGGGACGCCAGTTACTTAGTCCTGCATTCCGTATCCTGGAACTTACTTCATATATTCTCCTGCTCAAAAGCCAGGAGTGGTCCCATGTTACTGCTCTCACCCCACTCACATTCCACTTCCTTCAGGCTCTGCATGTGCTGGCCACTCTATGTGCCGTCCCCCGGATGCGGCTCACACAGACCTTGGCAACCCTCCACCACTCCCCCAACCACTTGGGATCCAGCTCAAGTTTTGCCTGGAAGACTTCTCTGCCCACTCTACCCCTACAGAACATTCTGGAGGCTGAAGCATGAGGAGGCATGTCAGGGCCAGGCAGGCAGGGGGACCACATGCTATTCCTGGAGAAGGTTCTGCCCACGTGGGACTACTCACCCTGGTGAGATTTAAGTGAGATCCCCAACAGAGCACGAGTGCAACTGAGTCACACGGTGAAGGAGTTATTTACTTTCCACCTCTTTCCCAATTTTAGTTGCACCCAGAAAAAGTCTTGGTTTAGGAATAAATCATCTTTAGTCTCTTCCTAACAGACTTAGATTCTAGTTTTTTCCCCATCCTTCATTCTTTTCTTACGAGACATCCAAATAAAAATTTGATGTCTAATTTTTCATCAGACATCAAAATTAAAAAAATTTTTTGCAGTACTAAAGATTGAACCCAGGGCTTTCAACACTGAGCTACAAACCTAACCACTTTGATTTTTTTATATATGGGTTCTTGCTAATCACTACTAGACACTGAAAACAAAATTTTAAAAAATTGTTATCATAGTAAATTATATACAACATGAAATTTACCATGTTAAGTATTTTAAAGCATAAGTTTATCAGCATTCACATCATCATGCAACCACAGCCACAATCTCTAAAACTCTTTTCATCTTGCAAAACTCTCCAACCTACTGTAAGTCCCTAGTAACCACCATTCTTCTGTCATTTGCATGAATCTGACTAATCTAGATACCTCCTGTGACTGGAATCCTACAGTGTTTCTTTCCCAGGCTAGTTTAGTTCACTTAGCATAATGTTCTCAAGGCTCCTTCATGTTGTGGCATGTGTCAGAATGCCCTCCCTTTTAAAAGTTAGAAGTTGAGTAATATTCCCGTGTGTGCATTTATACCACATGTTGTTTATTTGTTCAACCATTAGTGGACACTTGGGCCTTTTCACCTCTATGCTATTATGAACAATGCTGCTATGAACATGGCTGTGGAAATGACACCCCTTTCAGTTTCTAGACGGGTTTTAATAACATTGTTTTGTTTGCTTGCTACTTATTTGTATAATTTTTATTTACAGTAACTAACTCAGATTTCCTATTTATCCAAGTAATATGAAATAGTCCCTTAAAATGTAGTTGTATCCTAAAAAGTAAAATAACTTGTAGGAAAACATGGCTAGTAAACAAAGGTACAAGTGCTATTTATTGATGGCAAAGTGCTGAGGTACAGGACAAAATCGTAGCGTAAAAAAAAATACTGACACAGACCTCAAATCAAAAATTCCATTGTCCTCAGCTGGTGATAGAAGCCTGCTAGGGTCACTGGGGAGGCTGACACCACATTCACATGGCATTCAGATACCTGGAGGGTGCAGTGTGTGGAACAAGGGTGACATGGGTAAAACCAAACCGTCAGACCCACCCCCCCCCCGGCTTCATCCCTCTCCCCAGCATGACCTGAGCTTCACTTTCCACTAAGATGTGGTGGTAACAACACCCAACATATGGACTGCTGTGACACTAGGTGACCCATGTAAAATGCCAGAACACACCTTGGATCTGAGTAATTAGCGCCTGTCCCGAAAGAAACCCTTCCCCAAGGCAGTACAGTATTTCTTGCTTTCTTCCTTGAAAGGATCTCATTGTGTTGAGGCTGGAGCCAGAGCTTAGGTGTAGCCTCCTTACCTGTGTCCATCCCCACCTTTAAAAACTGAGGAAGAATTCTGGGTTTTGGGTTTAAGACTGTCACTTACTGCTGTGAGACCCCGCATATGCTTTCTACCAGGAGTCTCTTTGAGCTTTCATTTCCCTGGCTCTAAATTTCAAATGCTCTTTTCCTGAGTTCTCAAAGTCTTACTCTCTAAACTCCACAAGCCAAGGCTCAGCACTGCAATATTTGCAGATTAACGATCTGTAAATGCTACCCAAACTCCCTGTATTCCCACCAAAGTTGGTCTCCCCTATCAGCAGCCAACAAGTCAACCAGACCAAGCTGCTCAGCAGATGAGATGACATGTGAAACTGCGAATCTTGCAAAAAATATGAGACTTCATGAAGTTGATAGAAGCAAATGCCAGAGAAACGTTCACCAGCTGATGACCACAAAGACAAAGAACATTTATAAAGGAAGTGACGGGGACTTCCAAAATGAAGTGATCGGTTATCAAAGGATTCAGAGAGATCTTTGGGTTTGCGGAAGCCTTCAAACACTTTAAAAAAAAAAAAATAGAGATGCTGCAAAACCTACTCAAAAGGGAAGGATGCTATATACTCAATTTTGTCAGTAAAATAAAGCCTTCGAATATTAGCATTTAATTCATTCTTTGCCCAGTGTAATGCGTGCACGATTGCAACCATTATCTAAATATTGCTAATCACGGGCTAAAAGTAATTTATCTTCATAACTTTTAGTTTTTTTCTATGTACTGACTCACTCCAGCCAAGTTCACATCTGTGAACTTTTCACCTTTTAAGAACAGATAAACCTCAGCAGCCTCTCCAGGGACAAGATATGACGAGAAGACGTCTGCCTTCCCTACCAGACCACAGACAACCTACTCCCACAAGAGGACCCCCCCCCCCCCGCCCCGCGCCCGCCGCAAAGGGCTGTGCAGCTGGAGGGAGGGGAAGTGCTTGACCCTGCACCACCTCCCCGCCCGCCCGCCCGCCCCCAGGCGTCTTCACCGGCTTAGAGGTCGCTTTGGTCAGCCGTTTTGTGTAACAAAACCGAGCTTCGGTGAAGGCACAGACACATTGGCCCACGTCCACTCAGTGGCAGCAATGCCAGTAGAAAAAAGTACAGTTAACAAAAGTCGAAAACTTGGTATGCGCGTTCCACGTGTAGAGCTGGGACGGCGGTGCCGCTCCGACCGTGGGGCTCCCGGTGAGTCGCTGGCGGTCGGGGAACCTGAGGCGGGAAAGCCGAGCCCGCGGCCCCCCACCCAGCTTTCGGTCCCCCCACCCTGGCCCCTGCGCTAGGGTGGGGCCTCCGTCGGGTCCGGCCGCTGTGCAGCAGAGCCCGCCGCCCGGCCGCGGCCGTCGCCCGAAGTCAGGCTGCTGTCCCCAGCCCCAGCCGCTCGGCCGCACCGGGTCACGGCGAGGCCGCAGCTCGCGCTCCCGCCCGGGACCCCGCCGCCCCCGCCCGCCGGCGCCCTCGGTCCCCTCCCCCGGGCGGGAGGAGGAGACTCCGCGGCCCTCCCTCGGCCTCCCGGCGGCGGCCGCGGCCAGCAGCGTGCCCGCTCCACCCAGCCGCGGCGGCCCGACGTCCGGAGCCCGGCAGCGCCGGCCCGAGGTGAGCGAGGGCTGCGGAGCGCGGGGCAGGAAGCCATCGCGGCTCGGGAACTCGCGCGCGGGCCGGGTCCCCGCCGCAGGGAAGGGGTTAAACGGGGGCGTGCAGGAGGGACTGAGCGGTGAGGACGCCCGCAGCAGCCCCCACGCTCTGAGCAGAAGTTTCTGACTCCCTCCCCCGGGTGCCCCCCAGTCCCGGGACACCGGGCCTCGGTCGAGGAGGGGCTGCGGGAGGCGGGGGCCGGGGCTGCGGAATGCCAGGGCGGGCGCCGGACGGGAGGGGGCGGCGGGCGGGGGCGGAATGTGGAACTCTCCCGGGGGACCCAACGTGGTCACCATGGCGAATGCGGGACGGATGGGCAGCCCTGGCCAATCAGAATACAGCGCCTCTGCCTAGACCGACGGCGGTAGCCAATAGGGGCCGCGTGATAGGATGGGCGGGATCGATCGCCCCTTGTAGGCAGGGATCCCCAACAGCCCGCCGCCAGGGGGAGCGGGACGGCTGGGGAGGGGGTGACTAAGTGGGTACCTAGGTGACTCAGAACCCACAGTAGCTGAAAATTAATTTCTGGAAGAAGTTGGGCCAGTGTAGGGATGGCTTAGCGCGCAGAGAAAGAAGTAGGTCTCAGTTGCCCCACCGAAAGTTCTGATGGTTCCAGCCCGTGGCATCAGCAAGCTTCTTTCCCCACCCAGGGCTTCAGTTTCTCTACTTTAGGTGGAAGTACCACCCTCATTCCACCCCGGTCTTCAGAGCCCTTGTCAGGTGGGTTTGGTTCAGGCTGGGACAAAGTCTGCTCATCTGTTGGATAAAAGAATCTTAGTGCCTTTCTCCATCCTCTTATAGGTAAGGAAACTGAGTGAGGTCCAACATAGCGAGGGGTCTGCACCTATTATGCAGCATGTGAGTAGCAGAGCTAGGACTAGCAGGGTGGCTTCTGTTCAAGGGCTGGTTTTCCAGGGAGCTGCTTGAGTGTGGCTGGGTGCGGGGGTGCAGGTCTACCCTGTGGGCCTAGTATCTGAGGATCCCGTCTTGTAGGTGATCCCAGGGGCATGGTGACCTTCCAGTAGTCATAACTGGAGAAGAGGCATCCAGTCCCAGTACTTCTGCCCTGGCTTTGTACTGCGTGGGTATGGACACAAGTCCAGAAGAGCTGCAGACGACCAAGTCTGTAAAGACAGGAGTTAGAATCACTGAGCCAGGGTTTCTTTATGGCGCCTCTGTCTAAGATGGTGGTAGTACCTGGGGACAGACCAGGGTGCTACTGGACTCAGGTCCAGCCTGAAGACCTAACATTCTTCTTCACTGCTCCTAGAGGTCCAGCAGCTGGAGCTTGGGCAGCTGGTCAGAAGGACAGGTGCCCACAGTCTGCGGGCTGACCAGCCTTGGGCCCTACACTTATCCAATAAGTCTGTCCCTCTGTGGTTTCCTGCTGGGCTCTGCTCCCTGCCCGCAAACAGGCCTGTGGCCATGGACTCACCCCAGAGCCCTACCTGAAAGATTCCACGAGGTTATTAGGATTTCTGAGCTTGGGGTGGTGGAAAGGGGAGACAGGGCTTTGGACCCTCAGCCCCTCGGCTGGCTTCCAGCCAGGCCTCAGTATTGCTCGTTCCTCTCAGTGGGTATAGAGAGATGTATCCTAGTATTCTGGGGACAAAACAAAGCTACCCTGTTTGAGTCTCTCAGGCAAGAGACTAGACCCCTGAATAGCACTGAATTTACCTCGGACTCTGACGTTGGCTAGTCATCTTAGAGCCTGGCTGAAAACTGACTTCTAGTCCTTGGATGGCTCAGCCCTCTCACACTCTTTGGTCACAAAGGAACCTCCTAACATTAAAGGTACCCATCGTCTATCCCTTAGCCCAGTAAGCATTCACACAGTACCTGTCGTATGCTGGGCCCTGTGCTGACAGCTAGAGGTACTGAGATGCCCATCTGGACTTCACAGGGAACCACTGCTGAAAACCACTGGGAGCAATAGCATATACTCGGAAGGGAGGGAAGGCTTCCCAGGGGAAGCCAGGCTGGAGGTGGGCCTTCCAGGGTGTGTAGTGATTTGCTGATGGAGGAGAAAGGAGACAGACATGTGAGCAAATGGAGCTATTAGCTCCTTGCTGTGAGCAGGGCTGATGAGGCCCCAGCTTGCAGTGACTGTTTTATTTCTGTTCTGGAGCAGGGAGTGAGGGTAGCTGAGGGGCCAGGGTTCAGGAGCTGTGAGTCCCAGTCAGATGGATGCCCAGTAAAAAAGTACACAATGATGTTTCAGCTTTTCTGCTCTCAGAGTACCAGCCAACTTTAACCAACTTTATGCAGGGTCTTTCCTGTAAGATCTGAGTGGCACAAAGGTCCCTCTGGGTGGGAGGAGCCCCAGTGCAAAGGAAGGACTGGTGGGGGTCCAGCGTCTGCAAGGGGCACTGGGAATGAACAGATACCTGCAGGACAGAGCAGGAATAGAGCTGGGGGAGTCGGGGGAGGAGACGCTAGGAAGGGAAACTCCCCAGCCATCTCTGTTCCTCCTCACGGCTCCCGTGGGAAGAACGCACTGAGCCAGGTGGGGAAGGGTCAGGCAGCCGCCCACTGGAGCCTGGGGTACAGTATGAGCCAATGGGTTACCAGGGCTGTGTGTGAGTCCCCGTGGCTGTGTTATGTGAGCAGGGTGGGGGCAGGGTCTGACTGGCCTTGGTCTACAAGGGTGCGTGGGGTTCCTGCTGTGCTGGCTTCTGCAGAAGCCAACCTGAGGACCCCCGCCCCAGTCCTTGCCACACTCGACTGCTCACAGCCTCTGGGCCTACCAGAGAAGGGCAGGGGGGCTGTTCCTGAGCCTCCCTGCTGACGCTGTTTCCTTCTCCCCCCAATGCCCAGCCCCTAGAGGGGCTTAGCCAGGCAGTCAGGAAGGGGATCAGGCGCTGATTCTGGAGCCTCAGGCCCTGGCTTGTGCATGGGTGCCTGGAAGCCATTAGGGGCCTGGCTGGTGCCTGCCATGTCCTTGTATCATGGGCTTAGGATTCCTAGAAGGATCCAGGGCCCCTCCCAGCCAAACCCCACAGCAGGCTTGGTGGTCCAGAGGCAGAGAATGTGGCTGTGGCCCCACCTTCCCATTCTACTTTGGGACTTCAGGAAGAACCCAGCAGAAGGCCAAGCCAGTTCCATTCTGCTGGCTGGCACTTTGGGTTTCCTGCCCCCGCCCCCAGCACACATTGTTTTTCTTTCCCAAGAGCTTCTCCATGTGGAGCTGGGCCAGGAAAATGAGGAGAGGGGGAGTGTGTCTGTTGCATGTGTGAGTGATCTCCTAGGGATGAGCATCTGCCTCTGCTGGCTTCGTGCCTGGCAGTGTGCTGTGGGGCGTGTGTGTGTGTGTTTCCGCAGGTATGTCTGTCCTTTGAGTGTGTCTGTATAGTTGTGTGTGCACATGTGTGTCTGTTTTGCCTCTGTGTTTATGAACATGGAATTGCACATGTGCTTGCAGATATGTCTGTGTGTACACAGTTGTGTGGAGTATACAGGCCACTGCCTCAGTGTACAAGCAAAGAAACTGAGTCACAGGGGAGTCAGCCTGCCAGGGATTTCTTGGGGTGCCAGTGGTACATGCAGAGTGGAACCCAGATGTGTACAGCTGTGTCTGATGATTGGTCAGGTATTCCTGGGCTGGGACATGTGCACACATGTGCATGCCCACCTGTGGGTGATAAGGCATCACCAAATACTCAGATGTCCCCGGATTTATACTCCTGAAATGTGCATTCCCAGCTGCCCTACTGCACCTCACTCTGTGGGGGCTGGACCAAGAAACTGCATTTTAAGCAAGTGTCCAGTAAGTCTGAAGCTACCTCTGATGAAGAGGTACTGGGCTCCCTCACTGCACCCCCATTCTACAGGTGGGGAAACTGAGACCCATGAAGGTACAGTAACTCACATGAGGTTGGTGAGAGAGCTGGGCCTGGATGGCATGTCTGGTGAAGGCAGATGGACCGTAAACAGCCAAAGGATAGAGAAATGTGGGAGGGTCACTGAGGAGCCTTGAGCATCCATAGAATTTAACATGGCACTGCTCCACTGGTGACATGCAACCTGTGATGCCTGATCATGCATCACATGATCAGGGATGAGGAGATGAGCAGGGCCAGTGATGTCTGGAGACAAGAGCAGGAATGGGACTGGGGGCCTGTGAGTGCTTTGGGGGAAGAGGTTAGGGCCCCAGCGTGTGGCCTGTGGGGTCAGTGCACAGGTGGTAGGACAGTGGCTGGGCTCCTTTGGGACTGAAGGAATTGTTGGAGTCCTAGAGGGGATCTGCTGGGAACTGATGAGAGAGAGGAGTCCCTGCCACTGGTGGTGACAAAGGTGATGCCTCCAGCACAGGCAGGTGGCTGCTCTGTGAAGAATGGATTTGAAGGAGGCAAAAGTATGTGGGATGGCTCAGGCGGGGGCCAAGTAAAGAGAAGAGGGCTGGGACGGTGCCAGCAGCACTCAAGGGCTGAGCCCCACAGGGAGCCTGCCCAGGAGGCTGACAGCCAGGGAGGCTGCATCTATGGCTCAGGGGCACAGCAAGCACCACCCAGGCCCAAAAGGCTTCCTCGGCACCCATGCACCGAGAGCGCAGTGTCCCAGAGGAATGACAAGGAATCAGGAGCGATGGTGTGTCCAGGTCAAGAGCACACACAGTCTCACGGTATAGCCAGGTGAGAGTGAGAGGGCAGTGGTGAGTGTGGGCCACTCTGGAGAGGCTGTGAGCAGGAGAAAAGTGGGGCTAGGGGGTAGCGTGGGGAGATGATAGGTAGGAGGTTCCCTTTCCACTTAGATTCCCTGCTGACAGTGAAGAGGGGGTTGTTGGGTCAGACCGGGGGCTGAAGGCTGCCAGGCAGTGGGAGCCAGCCAGGGACAAGGCACCCCTCTGTGGTGGGGCGTCCCACCCACAATACACTGGTCACTCAAAAAGGGTTGCAGCAGGAGAACTCAAGTCCAAGACCCACCAGGGCAACTTAGACTCTGTCTCAAAAAATAAAATAATATTTTTAAAAAGGGCTGGGGATGCATCTCATCTCAGTGCTAAAGCCCTGGATTTAATCTCCAATACCAGAGTGGGGGATAAAAATGTAGATCTTCAGAGCAGGTGTGAAGATCCATTGACCAGGGCTGAGCCCAGTGGTGAAGGAAGGGAGGGACGTCCCAAGGAGCTTCAGTGGCAGCTGGTATGAGGCCACGGTGGAGGGAGTGTCGGCTGGGTTGGGGTCAGAGAATGATAGATGCCTTCATTATTTTTAAGGACAGTGAGGCCCAATGCAAAGCCCAGGGTGTAGGGGAGACAGAGGTGAGACAGGCTTTGGCAGAAAAAGTCAGAGCGCCTCCCACCACCCTAGGACTCTCATCTAAGACACTGGGTCCTTTCCATCGTCGTCACCCACGTGTGCATTTCTCCAGGTACCCACCAGTGTTTGGCTTTGGGCTCATATATACTGTAAGTGGCAATAAGAAGTTCCCTCACTTTAAATCTGAGAAGTGAGACAACATAAAGCCTTGGGCCTGGTACCTGGCCTATGGGGGGCTTCCACAAATTTGTGAGGACTAGATGAGTAGCCAGGTCCCATTTCATTGCCTGCTTTCAGTGGCCTCCCAGCCTGGGATGCGGTGGGGAGAGCTGAGCAGATAAATGGCCCAAAATGGGCAGGACTGGACGGATGGGCCTGGCCAAGGAGACCCTCTAGGAGGGGGATCTCAGATGAGAGCTGAGGTTGAAGGGAATCAGCCAGTGCAGGAGGGAGCTGTGCGAACAGGTGTGTGACCTGGTGCTGTGAAGATAAAGGACAGCGGTCATGCTTTCAGATCCCCCTTGCTACCACAGAGAGCAGGAATTAGAGGGACGTCAGCAGGCTCTCTCAGCCTGAGGGGATGGCCCTGGAACCCACTTATCTTCTCGCCCTTCTGCTGATCTTACAGACTGATGGTGGCCACAGCCTAAAAATGTTTGTCCCCTCAGCAGGTCTGAGAAGGGTCCCTCACCAGGTGGCCAGGCGTGGCAGCCATCATGCCACGGAGTATCGTGTCCGCACCGCGTTCCTACCGCTGTTCCTAAGTCCGGCCACGAGTTCGAGCCCAGCACCCGCCTACCCGCGCCATGAGCCACGGGCCGAGCCCTAGGCTGGTCGAGTCCCCGCAGCTGTCCAAGGGCAGCCTCCTGACCATCTTGGGCAGCCCGTCGCCCGAGCGCATGGGGCCCACCGACTCGCTGCCGCCCACGCCGCCCAGTGGTACGCCCTCGCCGGGACCACCACCCGCGCTGCCTTTGCCGCAGCCGCCTGCGCTGCTGGCTGACGGGGACTGGGAGAGCCGCGAGGAGCTGCGGCTGAGGGAGCTGGAGGAGGCGCGCGCGCGGGCTGCGCAGATGGAGAAGACGATGCGCTGGTGGTCGGACTGCACGGCCAACTGGCGCGAGAAATGGAGCAAAGTGCGCGCCGAACGCAATCGCGCGCGCGAAGAGGTTCGCCAGCTGCGCCAGCGCCTCGATGCGCTCACCAAGGAGCTGGCGGGTGCGCGGCGGGAGCGCCAGGAGGCGCAGGGCGAGTGCGAAGCTCGGGGCCGAGAGCTAGCGCGGCTGCGGGGCACCCGGGGCGCAGCGGACAAGACTCCCGACGGCCTGGACCCCGAAGCCGAGCAGGAGCAAGAGCCAGTCCGCGACGTCGGGTCCGAGAGGCCACAGGGCAACCAGGTGCGCGCAGGACAGGGCTGTGGATTTGGGGTGGAGGGCGGCTGCGGAGCCAGACAGGCAAAGCGTGAAGTCAGGTCCCGGGCTCCGAAAGAAGCTAGTAATGGGCTAGCTTATCCGGGAGATTCCACTCCTTCAGGTTAGACTCAGCCCCCAGCCCAGCATGGCAACCCAGATTGCCTCCCTTCCGGAGACCACCCCCTCCCCAGGATGGAGAAGCCGAGGTCCTGGTGGCTGACCACTTTGGACAGGAAAAAAGCCCTCCATCTTGCCTGAAAGTCAAGATTAGTAGCCACAGCTCAATCCAATTCATCTGTTCAACTTGAGGGGGTCGGGGATCACTAGGCGTACAGAGGTGCTTGACTCTAGCTTTGCCTGAAGGGTTGCTTTCCTAGAAGAGGTCACGTTTAAGCAGAGACTGGGTAAGAATTAGTTTTGGAAGTGCTCGAAGGCATTTCAGGACAAGGAGATGCCAGAGCCCGGAGGCGGAGGAACACGCTAGTGGATGCCCCACCGTCAGCCCTGCGTGTGCTCTGAGGAATGTGCTTCCGGAGCACTCGAGGTACAGGTGAGTCTGAGCAGCTCCCGGCTAGTGAAAGGAGCCTCGGAGTCTGGAGCCCAGGCCATCTGCCTCCCGAACCCATGGTCACCATTAGGATTGAGGTGACACAGTCCCCTTGAGCCATCAGGCTTGTCGCCAGAAGGCCACCTGGTGCAGGATCCCAGCTCAGCTCCCCAGCTCCTCCAGCTGGGTGTCAACCCCCACCACACACACACACACACACACACACACACACACACACACACTCCTCCAGCCCAGCCCCTTCCCTGCCACTGCTGCCTCCTGGGGGCTGAAGCCTGATTCCCAGGAGTTTGGAGGAAGCATTTCTTGCTCCTGTTGTGAGCCTCCTCTCCTTACTGTCATCACAGTAAGAAGAGCCCGGGCCAGCATCTAAGTTTGCATCCCAGCCCTGCTATTTCTATGCTCTGCAGCCCAGAACAAGTCCCTGTTTTCCTTGTGTCCTTGTTTGTGCAAGAGGATTTTGGACCAGGTGGCATCCAGGTTGCTTCTTGCTGGGCAGTCTGAAAGATAGGAGGCAGAGAAGGAGGTCAGTCTTCCAAGATTGCTCAGTCTCCTTGTGCCTCAGTGTAAAGCCCCTGGAAAACAGAGTCATAGAACTGGAATTCCTTTGGAGGGAATCTAGTCCTCAGCCATCTGCTTCAGTATGTATTTGTGACACAGTGCACCACCTCTCCTGGGGAATCTTCCAGGATGTAGGAAATCCTGATAACTGGCACTGCAGTAAGGGAGAAGGCCCAGAGGTGGAGAGGCAGACAGCAGGAGAGGAAACAAGGGTGCAGAGGCACGATGGACTTGCCAAGGGTCACCAGCAAGCTGATTCCAGCCCAGGGCCTGCAAGGATCCATGGGGAAAGTTACCAGGGTAGTAGAGTGGCGGAGTGGTACAGCCTCCCCCTTGGTTCCTGCAGGAGCTGGAACTGGTGGAGACCCTGCTGAAGAGCAGACCAGAGGAGCCGGAGGGCTGCTGGGAGGTACGCAGTGTGGGAGCTGGAGCCTCTCGGGGCAGCTCAGGCCGCCAGGAGCGCAGCCGGCTGCCCTGGGAGGACACAGCCGCCACCGAAGAGGATGCCTCCAAGTTGACTGCCCTGCGGTTGCGGTTAGATGAGTCCCAGAAGGTGCTGCTCAAGGAGCGAGAGTGAGTCTCAGAAGGCAGCCAGGGGGCTGGGCTGGGGCACCCTCAGAACCCCAGTATGAAAATCAGTGTTACCAAACACGAGACCCACCAAGGTACATATGCTACACATGCATGCTTTTTACTTTTTGGATTTTTCCCCCATTACTGGGTATTGAACCCAAAGCCTTCACAATGAACTACGTCCCTAGCCATTTTTAATTTGTTATTTAGAGACAGGGTCTCAGTAAGTCTAAGTTACTCAGGCTGGGCTCAGACTTGCAATCCTCCTGCCTCAGCCCTCAGTGCTGGGGTTATAGGCATATGCCGCCACCTCCAAAGCAAGATTTTCTTTTATTTCTGTTAATTCCTTGGGCATCTTCTGCTACCGGCCAGGCACTGGACTCTGCTTAGGGACAAACCCATAAGTAGATAAGCCTTCCTGGAACTTGTGTTCTGGTGGAACACGGCAGAAGTAAAAGCAGAGAAGTGGGTAGGGGATCTGGGAATTTGAGGTTGGAAGTGTTGGAGTTGCTCAGCAAGGAGGCAGGTGGGTGCATAAATGAGTCTGAGTCTGGAGGTCAAGGTCTGGCGGAGGTCAAATGCAGGTGTCATCACCCAACAGGTGATACTGCAAGCCAGAAGCCAGTGAGGTCAGAGGATGGAACCTGCTGTCAGCCAGCTTTAGAGGTTGCTAGAAGCAGCAGAGGAGATGGGAGAGAGAGCCAGTTCCAGGAAAGAGGAAACTGGGGGAAATGGTTTCACAGTAGACAGAGTGGTCAGCTGGTCAATCGAAAAGAGGACTTAGCACTGACCACTTAACCAGGGACATAGAGGTTACTAATGACCTTGGTCAAGGAAGTTCAGAAGGCACAACCTGTACTGATGAATATTCTGCAGCTTTACTGTTCAGGAGCTACATATAATCTAGCTACACACATGATTTTATTTTTAAAAAACCAGTGTAGGGACTGGAGCTGTGCTCAGCAGTAGAAAGCTTCCCTAGAGTGTACAAGGCCTTGGAGTTTGATTCCCCAGCACTGGAAGAAGTGAAAAACCATGACCCCCGCTGTGAAGGTGAAGGTCAGGGTGATGCTTCTTTGGCCAAGGAGCATCAAAGATGGGCAGCAAACCACTGCCAGAGGCCAGTGGGGCAGGGGGAGGTGAGACGTGGAACAGGGTCTTTCTCACAGCCGGAGATGGGACCATCCCTGCCAACATGTGATCTAGGACTCACAGTCTTCAGAGCTGTGAGAGAGTAAATTTCTGCTGTTCAAGGAAAAAAAAATCAACCTGATGCACTAAAATAAAAACACTTGCCCATCCCCCCTGTCCTCTCCTGTCTCCAGGGACAAACTGGCACTGAGCAGGAACATTGAGAAGCTGGAGGGGGAGCTCAGCCAGTGGAAGATCAAGTATGAGGAGCTGAGCAAGACGAAGCAGGAGATGCTCAAGCAAGTGAGTCTGGAGGCGGGGGGCTTCCTGGAGCACACTTGAGTTTCAGCAGTGGGGACCAGAGCGAAGGGAATTCTCTCATTCAGTAGTGGCTCTGTATGCAGGGCTGAGCGGGACCCCTGCCTTCAGGAGCTCACTTTGTAGAGGCTGGGAGTGAGCAAATGATGGAAAGTCCATGAGCTACAGAGAAGTCTAGCAGACCAAAAGAGATGAGTTGGTAAGCCCCAGAAGGCCTCTCTAAAGAGTGACATTTGAGGCAAGAGCTAAAGGGGTAAGAAGAAGCCATCTTTGGGAAGGTACAGGAACAGAGGGTTCACAGCAGATGCAAAGGTCCTGAGGTGGAACCCAGCTTCAGAGAAGGGCACTGACTATAATGAGTGAGAGGTAAGCCGCAGCTGGGCTGAATTTCACAGGACATTATGATCTGGATGGAGGAGTTTGAGTGTGACGGGCTTTGGATGCCTGCTTTGTGCCAGATGTTATTGAGGCCTTGTGGCAGTCAAGAGAGCAAGGTCTTGACATCCTAATCTTATACATGATGAAACAGGCCCCAGAGAGGGGAGTCCCCCCAGGGATCCTGGGATCACGGGCTGGCTGCCTGTTTTTTCTCCTTGCCAGCCCACATGGCCACCAGGGGGCGCAGCCACCCAGGGAAAGCCCGGCTGGACTGGCTTGGGTGTCTGGGTGAGAGGACCAGAGCCCTGAGAGCCTAAACCCCAGCCCTGGAACAGGACAAAACCCCTCTTCCACAGAACCTCCCCGAGCCATCCATCATCTTGGGGATTGGGCTCAAGGAACCCAGCTCTTTAATCTCTTCAAACTGTGAGGTATAATTATTTGAAGAAAAGTGAATGGAACACCAGTGTGCAGCTCAACAGAAAGCCATCTTGTATCTGGCATCTTGCCCTCCACATTGTTTTGAAAACTCACCCGTATGGCTGCATGGAGCAAAGTTCAGGGGTTTTGCTGCTGTACAGTAGAGGACTGTGTTATTTGTAAAGCAGCCTGAGCTGCTCCAGTGCACCTGCTTGCAGACCAGTCCTTAGATCAGTGGTATGTACTGAAGGCTGCTGTGTCAAAGCCAACCAGGACTCAAGGAGAGCAAATAGACACACCTTCCACTTCCATTTTGCGTTCTGATGGGCAGTGGGGCAAGCACAGGAGAGGCCTGATGATAAGATGACTCAGTCCTGCAAATTACCTGAGGGTGTTCCAAGCGGAGAGAGCCATGTGTGCAAAGGCCCTGTGGTAGGCAAGGGCTTAATGTATTCGCAGAACAGGACCAGCCTAGAGCTCAGTAATGGGAAAGAGATGGAGAGTAAGGATGGGGAAAAGCAGACAGGAATCTGATTGTGTGTGACCAAAAGAGTTGTTTTTTGTTTTTGTTTTTTTTAAGGCATCCGGGAGCCATCAAAGGGGCTTTTGGTGTTAAGCAGGGATAGAAATTGAATTTGTGTTTTTAAAAGCTCACTGTGAGTTGCTGTTTCACTGACAGGTGTAAGAGTAGACACAGGGAGAGGGGGAGCTAGAATGTTAAGGAGGGGAGAGGTGAGAGACATCGGAGGCCACAGAATGGCCAGAGTCAGGGTCTGTTCGGAACCCCAGGTGCACCAGTACCCCGCCCCCCGTCCCAGAGCTTGGTTCTTGGGTGTATCCTGGTGCCCCTCATGTAACCAGGCTGGGCGATGTCTATGCAGCTTAGCATCCTGAAGGAGGCACACCAGGACGAGCTGGGCCGCATGTCCGAAGACCTGGAGGACGAGCTGGGTGCACGGTCCAGCATGGACAGGAAGATGGCTGAGCTGAGGGGCGAGGTGAGGTGGTCAGCAGGACGTGGGGGTGCTGAGGAGGGGGCTGGGACCCCACCCGTATCAGCTGGTCACTGGGAGGAGAGTAGGAGCCAAGTCTGCTCTGAGGGTACCCCCATCTGCAGAGGGCGGCTCCTTTCCCACACAAGGACCAGAAGCACCCCCACATCCTGCACACCGTGAAAGAAGCCCAGCTTAATTATAGCAGCTGCAGCTGGATCTACTTCCTGGAGCCAAAAATGGCTCCAGGAGGTGGGGGGGCAGCGTGGCCCTCAGCCCCCCTCCCCCGGGAATCTCACTCCGTCCTGCCTTGTTGCAGATGGAAAGGCTGCAGGCTGAGAATGCAGCTGAGTGGGGCCGCCGAGAGCGGCTAGAGACTGAGAAGCTGGGCCTGGAGCGGGAGAACAAGAAGCTGCGGGCACAGGTCGGGGACCTGGAGGAGGCGCTGGCCCGGCGGCGGCGGCAGACAACCAGTGCCCTGGACTGCGATCTGCGGGCCAGCCAGGCCGCACTCTTCGAGAAGAACAAGGTGGGCAGGGAGTACAGCGGCCAGGGCCTCCCCGCAGCCCCAGAGGGCGCCTCCTGTGTGCCAGGGCTGCTGGTAAATTACGGTTGAGACTCCCTAATCCAAACTCGCACCTCTGAAAGGCTCCAAATTCCAAAAGCTTGTGACCACCAGCGCAGTGCCACAAGTGGAAGTTCCACGCCTGACACAGGTAGATCACAGTGGAAACCCACTGTGCACTAAGAATATTGTATAAGGTTTCGTTAGCCTCTGTGTCCAAGGTGTATGTGAGTCATAACTGAGTTTCATGTCTATGCTTGGATCCTATCCCCCAAGTATTTTATTGTATAGATGCAGATACTCCAAAATCCAAAAAACTTGAAATCCAAAACACTTCTAGTCCCAGGCATGTTGGATAAGAGATGTTCAAGCTGTAGCTGCATTTATTGAGCAGCTACTATATGCTGGACCATCTGGTAATTATGTTTATTTGAGTACCTATTATGAGGTTAGGCCCAGTGATATTTACAGTAGCTACACATATTAAGCACCTGCTGTGTGCTGGAGAAACAGCAGTGAACAGATAGGTGTGTCGTCTCCTCATAATGGAGCTAATGTCTCAGGAGACCCAGAGATTGCTCTCTCTGTCACATATGCTTATACCGATCACATCGCTCCACAGTTGTCACAGGAAGAGGAACTGCTGAGAACTCGTCCTGTATCCAGGGTCCTAGAAAGGCTTCCTGGAGGGGGTGACATTTGACATTATTTGCCGGTGGCCTCATTTGGGAAGGGAGAGGAATGGGGAGTGAGGTGAGTGAATGTTTCATGGTGAGAGGATGGGGCACTGTGGAGGAATGGGAAGGCCAGTGTGACTGCAGGGAGTGAGCAGAGGGCCAGAGCATGTGAGGTGGGTACCCGGCCAGCTGGGCGGGCAGCGATGGGAGGGCAGGCCAGCGGGGAAGCCACGGCTGTCAAGGCAGCAAGGACGGCTGGAGACCAGGACCAGGCTGGATTTGATGGAGTGAAATGAAGGCTGGACTCAGGAGACTTTTAAACAGCGTCATCCCCACTTCACAGATGGGAAAACTGACCGGTCCCAGAGCTCAGGGCTGGTCATTTTCCCTGCTGGCTGCTACTCCTCTTCCCAGCCACTTTGACCTCTGATCTCTTTCCTCCCACACCCATTGCTCAGCTTAGTTTGTTTCAGATCAGCACTTCAAATGCCATGGATTCATTACCAAAGACTTCAGACCTTGTGCCCCACACAAGTGCTGCCCCAGCTCCAGGTTCCTGCTCACATCTCACAGTCACATATCTCATGTGGAGTCATCTCCTGGCCTGCTCTGTTGCCCCCTGAGCCTTCTCAGCCCAATAAGTGCCATCTCTTTCCCCCCACACGCTCCCTAAACCTTAGTGCTTGTGTTTTGAATAAGCAACAACCCCAGGGAGAAGAGACACCCGCCCCCCCAAGTGCTGTCTGACCTGCGGGACACTGTAGTGCGGTGCCCAGCGACACTGAGCCCTCCCTGGCTGTCCCCTGCAGGAGCTGGCAGACCTGAAGCACGTGCATGGCAAGCTGAAGAAACAGTTCCAGGAGAAGGTGGCAGAGCTGGCCCACGCCAACCGGCGGGTGGAGCAGCACGAGGCGGAGGTGAAGAAGCTGCGGCTGCGAGTGGAGGAGCTCAAGAAGGAGCTGGCCCAGGCCGAGGACGAGGCAAGTGTCCCCGCGGGGCCAACGTAGCAGTGTGCAGGGCCACCCGTGCTCCATGCTGGGACTACAGGGGACTACGTGGCAAGGCAGGACTCTTGTGAGGCACTCGGGGTAAAAGGGAGCCAGTGGGTGGCAGTCGGGTGCTGCTGGGATAGGAGTCGGGGCGAGAGGAGAGGGAAAGGTGACCGAGCTGAGAGAGCAAGCTAGTGGATGCATGGATGAATGGGAGGTGTGCAGACAGTTGAATGGAGGACAGAACGGGGACTCCGTGGATGAGTGAACAGATGGATGCAGGACTAGGTGGGCAGATGGATGCGAGAGGAGGGAGGCAGGGAGGAAGATGGATGAATGAGGTGTAACAGCAGATGTCTGCTGGCTGGAGGGAGACATGGTGGATGATGGGTGCACAGACAGATGGAGGGCTGGATGGGTAGACTGCGGACAGATGGACCGACTGAACTTCAGGGGTGTGTGGAAGAATGAACACAGGACAAAGGAAGACGGAGGGTCAGGGGCATGGAAGGGCATTGTGGGCAGGCAGACGAGTGGGTGCTGATTGGGTATTACATGGTGAGGGTGGGTGAGTATCTCCCTGGGCAGACAGGCTGGTGAGAGTAGGTGGTAGGTGGGTGGGCAGCCGTATCAGTGATTTAGAGCACTGGGGGCTGGGTAGATTTGGGGAGGACACCACAGGGACGGAGAGGAAGGAGCACAAAGGATGCTGCTTGGACAGGGTGGCTTTGACTAGGCCTCAGGAACAGAAGCCCTTGAGAGGCCCAGTCTCAGAGTGGAGCAGGAGAAGCTGATCCAGCTGCCCCTGCCCTGGTCGCTCAAGTGCTGCTGGTCCTGCTCACCCACAGCTGGACGAAGCCCACAACCAGGCGCGGAAGCTGCAGCGGTCGCTGGATGAGCAGACAGAGCAGAGCGAGAACCTGCAGGTGCAACTGGAACACCTGCAGTCCAGGTGGGCTGCGGGGATGTCTGCAGGGGAGCGGGGCACCCATGGCCTGGGTGCTGCTGAGAGCCTTCTGTTGGAGATGGAGCCCCTAGGAGGACCAGAGGGGAAGACAGAGAAGGAGAGATCCTGGGGCCAGAATCCTGTCCCCTGCAGGCAGGAAGGGCCGGGGCCAGGAAACCAGGGAGGTGGGTTCAGGAAGCCAGGACAGCTGGGGAACCTGGAATTGTCTCCTCTAGCAGGCCTGGGGGTGGCCAAGGAGGTCAGGCCCGAGATGTGGGGCAGCATCTGGGAGATGTCGGCAGGAAGATCCAGCCCCCGTCTGGTCAACTTAATGACTTGGCGAGATCCTGTCTCAAAATAAAAAAAGACCTAGGAGTGAAGCTCAATGTGAAGCCCCTAGGTTCAGTCTCCAGCACCATTAAAAAAAAAAAGAACAAGCAGTTGCCAGCAGGACTGCAGGCCTCTGGTGACACAGGATAGCAGGAATCTGGAAGGCACGGAGTGGCAGAGGCCCATCAGATTGGTAGGACCCGAAGGTCTCCAGTTGACTCACCCCTGCTCCTGCCCTCTGTGGATCGTGTCTTTTCTCTGCACTTCCCCTCAAGCCAGGAGATGTTAGAGAACTTCAGGTCCAAGTCCCCACTGCACGGGGAAGCCCTGAGCATCAGGCCCCAGCACTGACTGACTTCCTTACCCCAGGTCTGGGTACCCCCTTGCCTGCTTTCTTTGCCTTGCAGTCAGACAGCGTGGGTGGTCTTGGGACAGCAAATATCTCTGAATCCATTCCGAATCTTACAGATGGGGATGATAATAAATCTCACCTCTTGGTCACTGTGAGAATTAAATGAGCTGATTTGTGTTTATAAAGGAACCTGAGGGGCTAGGGATTTAGCTCAGCGGCATAAGCACCGCCTTGAAAGCAGTTGGTCGTAAGTTCGATCCCCAGTACCAATAATAAATTAAAAAAAAAAAAAAAGAACCTGAAAGACTGGGCATGGTGGTGCACACCTGTGATCCCAGCATTCTTTGAGACTGAGGCAGGACGATTGCCAAGTTCAAACCAAACCTAACTTAGTGACTTGGACATTGTCTCAAAATAAAATATGGAAAAAAATCTGGGGAGTAGGCTGGGCTGTTGTTGAGTGGTACAGTACTTGCCTTATATGCATGAAACCCTGGATTCCATCTCTAGCAATGGCAAAAAAGAAAGGAGAAAGAGGGAGAGTGAGAACCTAAGGATATAGTCCATTGCAAAAGCCCTGAGTTCAGTTCCCAGTACCTGCCATAATGCTGAGTAATTGTCGGCTGGTATAGCTGCTGTCACTATTGCTGCTGCTGCCAGTGTGGCCACCCCTGGAGAGGGGCTTAGGTTGGGTTGGATAACCATGCTTCAGGTAGCGCGCTCCTGTGGGCCAAATTCTCTAGCACAGTGGCAGACAAGGAAACCAAGGCCCAGCAGGAAAGGTGCTCCACAGCCATACAGCTGGATCCTCTCTTCTTTGGTACCTGTATTTGCTGAGCATTTACTAAGTGCTGTGGTGTGCTGCAGCATCGTAGGTAGGAGTCCAGCTCAGGAGCTAGACCTGCGGTGTGGTCAGCTGCACCTCAGTTTCTTCACCTGCCTAAGGTCATGGCCACGAAGTGTGGAGCAGGGGTCCAGTTGCGGATCTCGGTCCAGCGGCAGCACTCACACCTCTGGAGACCACTGTGTATAGGGCTGTCCCAAGTCCAGTCCACATTCTTCAGGAACCATAAACTCCCCAGATACCCAGCACCCCCAGTGGGGAGGGCGGGGCCGCCCACACGTCCACCTCCTTATAGTTTCCAACTTTCTGTGCTTTGCTATCATTCGGGACAGCTCACTAAATCACCTCGGTAATGGAGGCATGCGCCCCTCCCTGCCGTGTTAATAATTCATGCCTTCCAGTAAGATGCAGCAGGGGCAGCCGCTTTGATGGGGCGGGGGATGGGCACGCTCTCCACCAGCCCTGCTCAGGGTCTTGAGTTTGCTTCCTGTGTTTTGGCTTTGGGAATTTTAATGCAGGGAACAAGGGCCAAGCACTTGCTTACCAACCCTAGGACAGTAGGCTCCCAGACCACCCTCCTCATGCCATCCCCTGCTCCATGTGCCCTTGGAACAGGGCTTTAGGCAAGTCACTCAACTTCTTTGGGCCTCAGTGTCCTTGTGTGTAAGTGGGTATGACAGTGGTGCCTGCCTCACAGAAGCAGAATAATGAAGATTAGCTAGCAGCCGGCAAGCACTAGAGAGAGTGTGGCTGCTCTCAGCACAGCTGCAGCCGTGTTATCAGGAGGTGGCAAAGCCAGACCCTGCTCTAAATCTTGTCACCCCTGTCCCACAGGCTCCGCAGGCAGCAGCAGAACGCCCCCCTCTTTGGGAAGATCCGCAGTGCCCGTTTTGGCACCGAGGAGGCCGGAGATGGAGCCAGTGACCTGGATGAGGATGAGGACCTGCAAATCCAGGTGGCCTAGGGCCTCCCGGGGCTGCACAGGACTGGCCGAGGCCACAAGCCTCCAGCCCCTCAGACTGATGCAGCTGGCTGTGCTTGCTGTGGGTCCCAGCCCAGCGCTCCTTTGGAAGGGAACCCCATTTCATATATATATGCGCCCAGGGCTGCCCTTTTGGTCTGATAAACAAGGGACTGCTCAAAGCTCCGTCCAAGGGATCCCACCCACCCAGACTTCATGCAGAGTGAACTGAGTTGGGAGGGCGTATGGGGGCCCCAGCCCAAGGCCCCTTGCCACGCCTTAGTGATCTGGCAGGACCTGTTCATAATACAGTGTGACAAACCCAGGCTTTTGTAATAAATGGAGTTCAAATTGTTGAGCAGAGTCCTGAGAGCATAGCAGATGTGGAGGGAAGGGAAGGGGTCAGCCTCAGCCCATATCAGGCACTGAACTGGAGCTGAATAAATGAACAAATGAATGAGAAGAAGGATGCGTGAATGAGCATCTGAGCTGCTGAGGCGTCTGGTATACATCTGTGAGGGGCAGGAAGAGGTGTGGTGCCCATCTGATAGGGAGAAGACAAGACTTGAGTTCTAGCGCCTGACGGATTCAAACGTCTGCCCCTTACTGGCTGTGTAACCTCAGGAAAGTGGCTTGCCCTCTCTGAGTCCCAGCTTCTCCAGCTGTTGATTAAAGTGTCTTCTAGCAGAGTCAGGAGAGTTAAGTGCATTCATCCAGAGCTCAGTCAAGGTGATTGAATATCAGAGTACCTGGAGGTCCTGGATGGGAGCAGTGGCCTGGTGGGCACAGGATCTGGGGAGCTCGGTCAGAGGCAGTGTGGCTGCTGGTAATGCAGAGTCCTTTCCCTCAGCCTAGCTCAGGTGACAGAACTCCAGGAACTTTTATTTTTGACATTTAATTTCTAACATCCCTGTAATCAGATTTATGTCAAATGGATGGAAATGGTTATTGGAAACAGCCAGTCCAGCTCGGTGTGGTAGTACACAGTACACCCCATCCCAGCACTCGGGATGTTGAGGCAGGAGGATTACTGTGAGTTCAAGGCCAGTCTTAACTGCATAGCAATTCCCTGTCTCAAAAAAACAAAAACAAAAAGGGATAGAAAGAGAAGAAACAGCCAGCCCTGCCATGGTGGTGCACATTTGTAATCCCAGTTATTCCAGAGGCTGAGGCAGGAGAATCATAACTTTAAGTCCAACTTGAGCAACTTAGCAAAATCCCGTATCAAAATTGTAAAAAGAACTGGTAATATAACTTAGTGGCAGAGTGTCTAGCATGCATGAGGACCTGGGTTCAGTCCCCAGTGCCCCCCGCCCCCACAAAAACAACAGATACTTTCTATTCTTCACATCAAAATGGCATAGCATGGTGCCTGAT